TATATATATATATATATATATATATATATATATGCGCAGGTGAGGCGCCGAGGCGACCACCAGAAGCATGAGGCGAAGGTCATCTGCATCGGCTTGGACTGCGACTTGGCGCTGTTACAGGTTGAAGACCCAGACTTCTGGGACGGTGGGTGTTGTACTGTCATGTCCCGAGGTTTTAGGGTTAAAGATTTAGGTTTAATGTTTCCATCCGCTCCCACCCCTTGGGCCCTGCCCTCAACCCTTAGGGACACGAGGGCTGCGCTGCTGCTGCTGTTAGTCTCGTGCATAAGCATCGCACAGGACTAGCTAGCAACTATGGAGCCACTTGGTTAGCTGGCGGACCAACTGGCTAGCCAGCCAGTGGATTTCCATCTAGCTGCGCTGGTTGCTATCGTGCTAGCTGGGTTTCTCACATTTTGCTTCATATGGCGCACGTGTTCGTCCTTTGGCCTGCTTCCAGGATGGGGTGTCCAATGGGTATAAGGATAAGGGTGCACGTGCTGTGCCGTTTGCAGGCATAGGGCCACCGCTGGAGTGGGGGCCTTCGCCTTCTCTAGAAGACCCCGTCACGGTCGCCGGCTACCCGCTTGGCGGTGACAACTCCTCCGTCACCCAGGTAATCCAAACACTAAAGTCTAAAATTAGCTGCAAGTGGCTGTACGTTAGTTTGCTGCATGCAGTACTGTGCACACATTTCTTGTGGGTCGAGTTGTCCTTCTTGCTGCTCTTGCTGTTTCTACTTGCTGGTTTTGCTACCCACATTCTGCTGCTGAAGCTATTTCCCGTCGTGGCATTTTGCCTCTGGTTCGAGTGTTGCTGTTGCTGATGCAGGGCGTGGTGTCTCGTACGGACTTACAGCAGTATTCAATGGGTGCTTGTTGGCTGCTGGCTATTCAAATCGACGCAGCAATCAACCCGGGAAACAGCGGAGGCCCGGCGCTGAACAAGGAGAAGAAATGTGTGGGTATTGCATTTCAAAGCCTCAAGGATGGCGACACCGAAAACATCGGCTACATCATCCCTTCCGAAGTGAGCGGAAAAAACTACACAGACAACAATGTCCACAGCTGCCCTGCAGATCCATTGGCGGCATGCATACGCAGAAAGGGGAACGAGCCGAAGCAGCATCAGGAGCGGCAGCAGGAGCAGCAGCAGCAGCAGAAGAAGAAGCAGGATCAGCATCAGCAGAAGCAGAATTAGTGATGGAAGCAGGGCAGGAGAAGCAGAAGCTGTAGCGGACCGTCTAGAAGAGCAGCAGCAGCAACAGCTCAGTATGCATGCAGTCTTCTGGCTATTAATGGATTCGTTGCCTAAGTCCCCTTCTCTTCTCATGGCTTTTGGGTTTCTTTTACTCATGCCTCGTTGCGTGCCTCCCACGCCAGTCGGCTGCTGCTGCTTCTGCTGCTGTTTATGTTGCTTCTTTTGCAGGTAGTCGTCCATTTTTTAGAAGACTTTCGGCGGCACAAGAAGTACACCGGCTTCGGCGACTGCGGTTTTACGTGGCAGAAACTCGAAAACCGATATATGAGGAGTGCCCTTCAGCTCAAAACCAAACAGCAGGGCGTGCTCGTCAAAAAGGTACACTCTCCACCTGTCTATTCCCCTGCAACTAGTTGAGTGCATTCGTGTGTCCGTTTGTCACACACTGTTGGCGTCTGCCGCGCGCCGTTTCTGCGGCGGCGCTCGCAGCTGATATATGCATGAAAAAGCTGCAGATACTCTGCTAGTCGGAGTGTATGCATGCATGCATTTGTGCTGCAGGTGGACGGGGCATCTTTCGCGCGGGATGTGCTGCAGCGTGGAGATATAATTCTGACGGTGAACGGTAGCAAAGTTGCCTCAGATGGCAGCGTGGCTTTCCGAAACGGAGAAAGAATTCTGTTCTCATGGCTGTTTGCTCAACTGTTTGTTGGAGACCGCTGCTGCCTCACCATCTTGAGGCGAGGCAGGCAACTGCAAGTCTCCTACCAAGTCGGCAAAGTCAATGTAGGCGCACGAAAAAAAATCCCCAGTTCGCAACATCAACGAGCAACTCTGAGTATAGCTCCATTCAACTATATACTATTAAGTCCAACTAATAGCTCCAACTAGCAACTCTGGCTAGATTGCTTCTCTTCTTGTTTATTTTCCCACTGTCAACCTGTCCGTCATATACATGTGTATGTACATTTTGTCTTGCTTTGGATCAATTTAGCTGTCGGCTTGCTTTCTTTGTTTGTTCGTTTGTTTGCACAGCTCTTGGTGCCAGCAACGAACGACTTGCCGCGCCCGGAGTACTTGATTGTGGGGGGGTTGGTTTTTGTTCCTCTTAGCGAGCCGTTTCTTAAAAGTGAATATGGTGATGAATTTGAAAGCAGAGCCCCTGTAAGCAACAACAACCAGTGGAGCAACGCATGCGCTACATAGGAAGGTTGGGGCATGCAGAAGAAACAGGCGCTCTGGACAGCTGGGGGTCCGAATGGCCAGCACACCCAAAAGCCCACGCAGTCGCGAACACTTATGCTGTGTATTCGGTGGTGTGACGGACCCCCATCACTGTTGAAATGAACTACGGTCAACTGTTTCCGAAGCAACTGTGCTGCCTGTGTTTCTGTGGCGTCTGCTGCTGTTACTGCTGCGGTTGCTGGTGCTGCTGTTGCTGCTGCTACTGCAGGTGCGCTTGCTTGATCAGTGGCAACACGGGATGCAGCAGTTCCCAGGCCAGCAGTGCGTCGTCTTGACGCATGTGCTAGCTCACGAGATAACAGGTCGGGGTTGTATTATTGTCATTCTCTCGTTAATAAAATGCTTTTGGACATTTCTTCTTTGTTCTTTGTATTATGCTGCTTCTACTTGAATAGTCAGTCTCTTCACCTTCTGCTCGAAGCGAGCAATGAGTTGTTTGGTTGTACATTGCCTTTGTATTACTTTTTGTTCTGCGTCATTTTGGCGTTGCAGCCAATTCAAGGATGTTTCCATTTGCTTGTTCCACTGCATAAGCGCCAACGACACGCGTTGGTGTGTGCGTACAGTTGGATTCGAACACCTGCACAATTTGCAACTCATTGCCTTCAACGGCCACAAAATAAAAACCCTCAGACACTTGAAACAACTTGTCGACAACTCTAGCGACGAATATTGGAGGCGAGGCGAACACTCAACAACGTATTTATGCACATTCCAGTATATATTACATATGTGTACTGCAAACTATGTACAATATTTTATGGACAAAACGCAGAATATTATGGCACGCATCGTTTGTCTGGTTTATGTACAATATACAATATAGGCATGAACGTGGGTGGATGCATGTGAACATCTGCGTTTATCTAGGCCCTCATTTATGCCGCCACACATATGCGTATGCCGAGCCCTATATACATACATCTGTTACCC